CCCACAACAAGAATCCAAGCCAATGGGTCCTACAGTGTGAAGCTGAGCATTCGAGTTCAACCTCAATTTACCCATCCTCAGCTGATGCACTGTTAGAGAAATGAGGGTAAATGGTTGTTTTAAAGTGTTTCAGTCTTCAAGCATTTTGTTTGCAAAAGTAGTGGACTTCTAGGTGAGCTGCTGCTATTGTGATAATAATGGTGCTATACGAGGTGTATCTCATGCTCAAACCCTTCAGCTTGGGAGCCCACTGGCTTAAATCTAGTTAGAGAGTGGTCACACTGTCCTGGCTCAGTAGTGGACTTGTAACTGGCTGATTCACATCCATCTGAGTTATGGGTGATTCCTTTTGTTGGGACATTGTATGGTCCATAAGCCACTCAGTACATGGTATCTTATTGATCTGCAGTGCCACCTGCCCTATAGCCAGTGCCTCCTTATAATGAAGAGCCCTGATCTCACACAGACCTAGTGACCCGTCCAAGGCCACCAAGCTTCTGTGGTACAGTAGCCTTTTAACCTGAAACGTCGATGCTAAGTCCTGGTTTTCCTTCATGGATTCACAGTGGCTTCTACTTAATACATACAATTTTCTTGCTAGACATTTGTCAACAGTAGGCCACCAACAGATTGGGTCAAATGCTTACATCAGTCACCCTTGTATCATGGGGAGCATGTCACCTCATAGATAGGCAGATGTCCATCATCCCTATGTCTGCCACTGGAACCCAGACACATGCACAGCTTCCAGAAAATTGACAGTGGTTTCTGCACCTCTAGTCTCCTGATTTTTTGAAATGTGTTTGGTTAGATCTAAAGGTGAGGTACAGATGGTGTAGGGACAGACTTTACCTAAGGTACCTTGGAAATATCGGAATTCACTGACTCATCACCAGTAGATTACAGAATTGGCCAACCAAGTCCTTTTTCCACATGTTGATTTGGAAATTGCTAGATAAATTGGCAAATGGACTCCTGCATTTCCTTTAAACTTTGGGACTGACTGTGAGACGTGGCATTCGCTTTCCCCCGCTTACAGCATTCCCAGACATCCTTGTCTGAGAAGGCTTCTAAATAATCTTGCAGTATTTTAAGTCAGACACCCTACATTTGCCAAATAAAATTATATGAGTTTGTGAGCTGTTTCCTTGGACGAGAACTGGGCCCAGGGATTTAGTGTTGGGGTGAAGGCTGCGTCTCTGGCTGCCCGAGTTTCAATCTCAGTTCCACAACTGACTGGTGCACAACCCTGGGCCAGGCACTTGGCCTTTCTAAACCTCAGATTTCTCCTCTGTAATATGGGGTCACTAATAAGACCTTGCTCATAGGTTTGTGTGAAGACTAAATGAAGCGATTCAGAGACATTGCTTAGAAAACAATTGGCACGAGCTGGTGTTCAAACACTTGCAATTAATTAATGATCATCGTCCCTCCAATTCTTTGGAAGTAGCTGAGTGTGATCTTTGGCAAGTACTTTCATGTATGCCAGTCACTTTCTCTGAGCCAGACACCGTGTTTACTGTTTTTAACGTCTTGAGTATTTCAAGGCTGGACTGGAGTCAGATTGCTTGGGTTTCAGATTCTTCAGGCACGTTAACAGCACATCTCTGGGATCCATGTGAAAATGTACGCTGAAGAGAAAAGAACAAGGCTCGTAGGACGGTTGGGAGATGGGGAAGGTGGGTGGAAAGGGCTGAGAACATTGCCGTGTGCTGGCCAGCGCTTCAGGGAAGGCCCAGTAGGCCAGGAGGGCGTGAGGTCTGGTCTGCAGGTGACCATCCAGCTGCCTTGGTCTAAGGGGGCTCTGGCCCTCCAGAACCTCGCAGGCGAGCCTCCGGTGTCTTTGGGCAGGTGCTGGTCAGGCCTTCTTGGACTTCCTGGCTCTCTTTTTTTTTTTTTACATTATTATTTTTCTACTAAATCCTTGTCAGTTTTTTAAGACAGAGCCTGACTGAATTCTCTCCAAGTTCTTATTACGTGTTTGTCCTGTGAATATTACGAACCTACTAGGTTTTTGACAATTAGCTGGGCAACCTGGTGTAACTGGACTACGAGAGTCTGACCCGTTTACGTGACATTCTCAGGCACTCATTGCTGTCATCTTACTGCCCATGGTCTTCTTTCCCCTCTTCTTTCCCACATTTTGGATTGGTCTTTCCTTCATTCTGTGCCAGCCTCCGTTTGCCTGGAAGTGATAGGCCAGGCTTCCACTGTAGTAATCACCTTCACCATTGTGACGTGTGTGCAGCCAGAGTCTCGGCCACTGTAGCAGGCGCGGGACCTGCCGCTCCACTCCATCCTCTCCCCCAGCCCAGATGGGACCGTATCCAGAGCTCCGGTTTCCCTCCTTCCAGGTGGAGCCAAAGGGTGGCTTCATGCCGTGGGTGATTCATACCGTGCCACCTCAAGCCAGTGCCTTTTCTCATTGCAGTTAGATGTTCTTGGTGCTGTGGTTTTCCTTCTGCTTAATCTAGATCTTGTAATATCCTTTCATGGGGTCAGATCCTTCAGTGAAACATGGGCTAAGTTTTAACTTCTGACTCTCCTGATAAAATGCGCCAGGAAATTCTTGACACTGCTAAAGATTAAACTTTGAAAGAAGCTTGACAGTACATCTCTCTCAGTTTCTGGATCTTATGCATCAAAGAGAATTCCAAGATCACAAGGACAGATAATTAAGAAACACAAAGAGATATAATCATTACTGTTAGGTGATATTCTCATTTTCAGGTTGAAACTGGTCAATTTTACCCATTTCAAATGGCTTATCCCAATGTTTGTAACCATTCACATGTTAGAGTACAAAGATAATGAGACTCCCGTGCCTGATGGTGATCTTAAACTTCTTTTAAATATTTTAAAGAAAATGGCCTCCTTATTGGTGAACTTTAATCAGAAACTATGAATTTGAACATAAATTAGCTTACAGAAATAAATTATCACTTTAGTTTGTTATCATTCTGCTTCATTTTGTATATAGGATTATTCAAAATATTTTATTTAGGAGGAAATTTCCCAGAGCAAACCAAACTAAAGAATGAATGAATGGTGAACTTCATCCTCAAATACACTGACTTTATTTGTTTATCATTGTTTGAAGTAGAACTTCACTGATGCCGCTTTTATTCTAAATCTAAAGCAAGAGTAAATTCTGCCTTACCTTGGCTAATAGGAGGGCTTGGAAATTGCACTGGGTTTGATCGTCAGCATATATACATAAAGGTAAATAAATAAAGGGATTGTGTCCATCTATAACTAAAACATATTTTTTAAAAAAGGAAATCTAAACAGTTATCTTATCCACTATTTGACAACAATAACTGAGTATTACAAAATAACTCATAGAGAGCATTTTGAATGTTCCCAAACCAAAGAAGTGATCAGTGTCTTGAGTTGACAGATGTGTCCCTTCCCCAGCTCTGGTCATGCCATTCTGTGCCCTAAAATATGTATGACTATAATGTGTCAATTAAAATTCAAAAGAACCAAAGAAAAGCTAAACATTAGTTCATCCAGATGAGGGCTAACTATAACTTCATACTTTTCTGAAAATTCTTTAAACACTTCCTAACATATTCTAACATAAATCATTGACAATCCCACAGAAGAGAATGTCATTGATAATAAAGCAGTTTAGAGTAAATGAGTTGTTATCAATCCAACTAATGACAGTAACTAATTCATCTCCTCCTCGAGATGCCTGCTGCCTGGTGGAATGTTGGGTCTCTCTGTCTACCTACGGGTTGACACAAAGTGTTGACGTGCTGATTGATTATGCCCACGTGGTCACACTGGTTTTCCTTTGTCTTCAAGCACTTCTCCATCACTCGGCTTGGCTTCTGGAAATACGAATCTGTTCTTTGTGTCTACCTGTTTCATCTCTTGACAGCAAATTACAACTGAAGATCACTTTTTTATTTTTTAAGATAAAAACTGGTCTTAGACTTTATTCATGAATAACTCACCAAGTATTTATCGAATGTCTACTACACTTTCAGCTCTAGAAAGAATCTGACATGACAAGCCCTGCCTCTAGGGAGTTTGTCATTCAAAATACAGCACATCAAGAAATGATTCTGAATCACTAAAAGCCTTCATTTTATCTTTCAAGACGTACCCAGATACTGATATCCTCTGTAAGATCAAGTATAATTTTTTATTATACTCTCTGAATTGTCATAAGGGGTACTTTGAAATTTGTATGCAGGCAAGGCCCCTTCTGCTACTTAGATTAAGTCAAATATTTTGTTTTCACTTTCAGTTTTCTCCAACATACCCTCCACAGCTTTGTCCAACCAGCTGGCTATTTCTGTGACACTTTACTTTCCTCTTCACTGGGTGCTTGTTGCTTTCCTCCTTGCAAAAGCCTCGTCAACCAGTCTTTCTCATCTTTCTTTACTTGGTTTCTTATCCATTTGGTTGAAAAATATTAGCACTTTTTTAAAGTCAGGTCTTTAATTCATTGGAATTTTCAATTGGTATCTTTAAACTTTGTTGTATTCTTCATATTTTCTCTGCAACAACACTCTCTTCTTCAAATTATTTAGAAATATTATCCTCCAAAGGACAATGGTTTCTAAAAGATTTCCGTCTCAAACACTGTACTACACAAGACTGATACAGAAATGCATAATTCAGTAAAGGACATTTGTACTGCATTGTCAATTCCCACTATTACATATACTGGATTCTGCCAAGATGACTATTAAAAGACTTATTTGTTATGGGATGTGACTTTATATACATAAAGGTTAGCTCAAAAGTAAGATTTTTGGTCCTCTGGTACTAAATTAAATGTAATTTACATGACACATGAAGTCTAAAACTTACAACACTAAATGATAAAGTCAAGACAGTTAACCATCATCAGTCTATCATCATCATCACAAACTATACACTTAAAAATCAAACTATTTATGAGTCTGTAAGTCAGATGCTGTCTAGCAAACTTCCATCTATGACTCATTTCCTTTTACATTTTTAACTCAAGTACAAATATGTAAGATTAAGTAAATTTTAATTTTCCAAAAGTTCTCCAGAAAGAATTATCAGAATCATCCAGGTAAAAAACACAGTTGGATAATCCATTTTCACAAATGAACTCCGTACTTGTGTTGTGAGGTAGCAATCAACAACTCTAAGACCTTCTGTGGTGGCAGTTCCCGCTACTCACAAGCATTCCCTCTGCACATGAAGATCATGAACAAAGAAGGGACCAGAAGAGTCCACTTTTCATTGTTTCACTGACTTCTTGTGTTTTCGTAGTATGCTAAATGCCTGATTTCAAATTTACAACAACAAAAAATACCAATATTTATTCTGAAAAGTAATTGTATGTTCCAAGTAGCAGATATTAACAAGTTCCAACACGATCTCTAGGAATAATTCGAAGTTCTGAACCGTGCTTTAGAAAAACATTTCCAGCAGTCTGTGCAGGATTTATTCCTATTCCATCATTAGTAATAATTGCACTTGTTGCTGCAGGAACTTTAAATTCTTCTGCTGCAAATTTTAAGACTGCTGTAAAAGGTGTACTCTCAGGAACACTAAGTACTTTATACGGCAACCGTGGGTCCGACGTCAGCGTAATCTTAAAGGAAACCTTCGACATGGTGGAGTAGGTCTGGGCGGACACCCCACGCCAATTTGGCGAAGTAGCTCCAAGCCCTCACCAGTGAAGAAGCCTGAAGATCACTTTTGTTGACAGAATAAAATACAGCAGGGCACGGTGGCACACGCCTGTGATCCCATGACTCGACAGACAGAGGCAGGAGGATGGCAAGTTCAAGGCCAGCCTCAGCAATTTAGCAAGGCCCCGTCTCAAAATAGAAAGGGCTAGGGATGAGGCTCACTGATTAAGCACCCCTGGGTCCAATCCCTTGTACCAAACAACAACACAACAAAAAAACAGGCAGACCATTAAGAAAATGCCACAGTTACACAATTTCCTGGTTTACTTTTAGTAATTGGAAAGACCTTCTTATAAAAGGGTTTCAAGATAGACCCTGATTTAAGAAGAACAGTGCTGGCCCCTCCAGGGTCAGGATCCTCACTTGGCACCCATCACAGGTGTCTTTCCTCCTGTCACGTGATCTCTAACAGTTCATCGTCGTCATTTTGTTCAGTCCCCAGAGCAGCACTGGGAATGGAACACTGGGAGATGAGGGAGAGGAGCTGGGTGCAGCCTGGGTGATGCCGCAGACCAAGACGGGCCTCCAGGCCTGGCTCCACCTGCATGCTCTTTCCCTTGAGTGACCCATGAGCTGTCACCTGTGACCAGCAGTGGTTTCCATGTCACCCAGGGAGACCTGGGGAAGATAGCTCCCTAGTCCCAGCAGAGACATGGTGATCTTCACAGATGAGCCCTGTGTGTGTCTTGGATGGTGTCAGCTTTGGGGGAGGTCACTCCCTACCCGTGGCTGTGGAGCACTAGAAAACTGCAGAGTCTAAGCCCCAGGGGTATTCAAGAGATCCACGGAACAAGACAGGGACTGTGGTTCATATACGGTGCTTTGGAAATGCTGGGAGATCAGATGCTCAGGAGTTCCTACCGCAGCTGGGAGAAGTTTGTGAGGTAAGGCACGGCTTAACTAGCACTCTTCAGCAATGCTTAGGTTTACTTTTTCAGGACCTCATGTTGTGCACGGTTAAGTATATACATTTTATTAAACTAAAAATCAAAAAATGCAAAGTAGCTCATCAATAATTTTAATGTTGACTCCTTGTTGAAATGAAAACACCTTAAATGCCATTTGATGACCACTGAAGTTCAGCCACCTGTTTTTGACGTTCTTTCCCTGTGGTTCTGGGACAACGTGTGGTACAATGCATGGCTCCTCTGTGTTCACAGAACAGCGCTGCTCTAGAGTTTCCATTTTTCTTGAGCATCGTTCCTGACCTCACTCTTTATCCAGTGTTTTTCCCTTTTAAGATGATTGAAAGTGTTCTGTACAAAAGCTTATTACAACATACTCATCTATTTATTTCCTATACTTGGCATTTGACACTTTAATTTAGACTCAGCTGTGCTATAAACATAACTTAAAATTTATGAAACTTTCTTGGATATTTGAAATTACTTCCAGGTTAGAATTTCAGGTGTGCTCTAAGAGTGGGGTTTTCTTTAAAAAAATGTGTAAGTGTAGAGAAGGTTGGAGCAAGAATGATTTTATCTTGCAAGATCAAAACTTAATGATAAAATGAAATCTTATAGAATGATCCCTTTGAAAAATTTCTGCTTGAGTTCTCTCGTGTGTGTGTGTGTGTGTGTGTGTGTGTGTCAGGGTCTTTCAAGGAGCAGATGAGTAAATACACAGAAAAAACTTAGTCTCTGCTTTTTTAATTTTTTATTTCTTTTTAGTTATACCTGACAGTAGAATGTATTTTAACACATCATACATACATGGAGTATGACTACCCATTCTTGAGGCTGTACATGATATGGAGTTACCCTGGTCATGTATTCATATATGAACATGGGAAAGTGATGTCCAGTTCATTCTACTGTCTTTTCAATTTCCATCTCCCCTTTGTCCCCCCCACTCCCTCCTATCTAGTCCAGGGACACTTACCCCTCCACCCACCCATTGTGAGTCAGCATCTGCATATCAGAGAGAACATTTAGCCTTTGCTATTTTAGGATTGGCTTATTTCACTTAGCATAATAGACTCCAGTATTGGCCGTTTACTGGCAGATGCCATAATTTCATTCTTCTTTATGGCTGATATTCCATTGTGTACATGCACCACATTTTCTTTATCCATTCGTCTGTTGAAGGGCACCTGGGTAGGTTCCACAGCTTAGCTTTTGGGATTTGAGCTGCTGTAAACATTGATGTGGCTGTGTCCCTGTAGTATGCTGATTTTAAGACCTTTGGTATATACTGAGGAGTGGGATAACTGGGTCAAATGGGGGTTCCATTGCAAGTTTTCTGAGGAGTCTCCATACTGCGTTCCAGAGTGGTTGCAGTCCCCCCAGCAATGTGTGAGTGAACCTTTCTCCCCACATCCTCACTGAAATTTATTGTTGCTTGTATTCTTGATAATTGCCCTTCTGACTGCAGTGAGATAGGATCTCAATGTAGTTTTAATTTACATTTCTCTAATTGCTAGTGATGTTGAACATTTTTTCATATACTGGTTGATTGATTATTATCTCTTCTTTTGTGAAGTGTCTGTTCAGTTCCTTTGCTCATTTATTGATTGGGTTATTCTTTTTCAGTGTAAAGTTTTTGAGTTCTTTATATATCCTGGACATCAGAGCTGTATCTGAGGTGCAGATGGCAAAGACTTTCTCCCATTCTGTAGGCTCTCTCTTCACCTTCTTGATCGTGTCCTTGGTGGTGAGGAAGCTTTTTAGTTTGATGCCATCCCATTTCTTAATTCTTCATTTTACTTCTTGTGCTTTAGGAGTCTTGTTGAGGAATTTGGTTCCTAAGCTGACATGATGGAGATTTGGGCCTACTTTTTCTTCTATTGGGCGCAGTGTCTCTGTTCTAGTGCCTGAATCCTTGACCCATTTCGAGTTGAGTTTTGTGCAGGGTGAGAGGTAGGGGTCTGATTTCATTTTGTCATGTATGGATTTCCACTTCTTCCAGCACCGTTGGTTGAAGAGGCCATCTTTTCTCCAGTGTCTGTTTATGGCCCCTTTGTTAGAACAGTCTCCAATTTTGAGTAAACAACAATATTGGCTTCCATTTTATTAAAAATTGAACTGCAGAGACCTGTATGATTACAGTGGCACTTCATAAATTGTACTGGGATGACCACTCATGAAAGACAGCTGTAGATGTACCACATGAAGGACAGGGGTGGATACACTCACATTCGGCTTTTCAGTGTTCTTTTACCCAATTCTCCTTTTACTTTTGCTACTTGGCACTTTTTCCATTCTATCTCCATTCTCCTTCAAACTGTAGAATTTTGCCACCATGAGGAGAGGGTGGATCGTGTCTGGTCAGACCTGTTTGCTCACAGGTGAAGAAGGTCCATAAAAGCACCACGTCTTGTTCACCAACTGTTAGGAGTTGGAAGAGCCATGGGGAAACTGCGTGCACTCCAGCTCTGTGAACACCTAACACAGTATGACCTGTAGTTCTTGTAACACAGGACTGAATTACATACCAGCTCTCCTCCCAGGGGTGTGGGAGGACAGTAGAGGCCCGAAGAGAGCGAGGGAGCTACTCAGGCTGCACATGGTGTAGACTGAGCTCTGTGCAAACTGTAGCTGATCCCAAAGCTATTGGGCACCACACTGCCTTTTGCTGTTCTCCTTGTACATTGGGGTTTCTTCTGTGTTTAAACCAGAGTGATAAAATGTTGGCCTTACACACTAGCCATGAAGCATCTCACGTTGGTCCGTCTGTGTGAAGGGGAGTTGGAGGCACCTGTTGGATCTGTCCTTCCTTGGTGGCCAACCCCAACAAGGAAAGGTGGTAGTCCAGCCTCCACGTGGCCAGTCCTGGGCAGAGACCCCAGGGTGGCCCTCGATGTCTTCCATTTCAGTGGGAATAAATAGGGACGGGAGGTTAATTGCCGCAGTCTGGCTGGGCACAATTCAGGAGCCACTTGTCAAAAGAAATGAACTTTATTTTAGAACCACACACGCCAAACAAAACAGCTCCTCAGGAAAAACCTTCAGAGCCCAACTGCCACCACCAGCTTCCCACAAGCCTCTCCACCTCCCCCACTCCTCCTGCTCTTGAGGCCGATTGGCTGGGTCGCGTGGGTGGAGCCAAAAAAAGTCCCCCAGTGAGCAGCTCCGTAGTCTGAAAGGGCAGGGAAACAGCCCAATGAGCATCACCACAGAGGAGCCAATCAGTTGGCAGCTAGAAGTTTGCTGGGGCCACTGTGAGCCAATCATCAGCTGGCAGTCTGAAAGTTTGCTGGGGTCCCTTCAGCTGTGGCTCTCAACATCTCCCCTCTCTGTTTAAACAACAAGCATGTGGCTTAGGGACCGTGCCTGCCTTAGGTTGTCCAATAGTACATATGGTCCTTACCCATTATCAGATGAGCTGACCTCAAGGCGTCAGCCTCCTGTCTTAGGTTGGTACCATTGCAATTGGATCTTACCCATCACTGACTACCGGTCCAGTGTATAGCCACACCTGTGGAGAGGTCTTTGTACCAGCGGTGGGGGGGTGAGGTTCTTTGCCCCACCTCTGTTGGCCCCCAAATTTTAGCTGAACGATCATGACAAGCAGAAGGGAGGAAGATACACCAAGCCAATTGACGGCTCCTTTTGGAAAAATTGTACCACCGATGACATCATCAGCAAAAAATACCCCAACACTATCACAAGTCGCTGCACCTACAGATAGTTCACAATGCATACAGGTGAGTTCACAATGCATACAAGTGATACATAGTCCAGGCAAGTTCTGCAAGCAGTTCAGTGATGGCTATTGCAGAAGCTGTAGATTGGTTTTATCTTTGTCTTCACCGGCACTGGGATGAAGATAGGAATTCTGGCAATAATGGCTAAAGAAAAAAATTATGTAACATTCCAGAAGGCACTAAAAGAAAACAATTTTCTAACAATTTACATTATCTTGAATTATTAAATATAATGAAAAGGAAAGGTGAAAGTAAACAAACAGATCTGTTAACCTCCTTTTTTGTTCACATATTAAAACAATCCTCAACAGTTGTTTACCCAATTTAAATTAAACCATTTAAA